ACAGCACTTAGCATCTTCTCATACACCACGTCACGTCTGTTGTTCACTGTCTGACTAGGGTAAGGCTTTTGCCTCCCTGTGTCGCATGCCTTCCCCTAGGTGTCCTAAGCCCTTAGAACTAACGGTGTCTGGAATATAACTGGACCACAGACTGGAGGCAGCCACAGTCCAGAATGCACACTGAAAACGGCTGAAGCAGACACGAGAAGAGCAACCTGGCAAATATCTACTGGCGATCAGCAAGGAGAGAGAACGGGAAGGGGCACGCCTCGTCTGAAGAACAGCTGCCCCAGCCCAGCCCTTCTCCAACCCCAGCTCAATGGAGGAACGGCGTCTGCCACAGAAGACAGTTTTCTGAAGAAACGGGACAGGCTGACTCAGGCGAGCTAGGGCGTCTGGTGGATAAGCATTTGTGGGGTCCTGAGGCCTGTCTGCTCCCCACTCTTGTCCTGAAGGAGAGCCTGTCAGTCTACCTGCTCTGCCTTCTTCCACGGACCTCCTTGGCAGCCCCCTCAGTCAGGGAAGACGCTGCCCAGGAGAGATCTAAACTCCACGATGGAAGAGGAAACCCAAGACAAGCACTGATCTCATTCAACCTAATTCTTTCATAGAAATAAATGACGAGTGAAGATCACCAGATATTTGAGTAAAACCATTAAGATAAACAATACAACTCTATAGGAGGCAGATAATTGAAGCAAAGAAAGAGAAACAAGAGAGACTTAAGATATGGTCATGAATTTAGAACAGGCTGTTACGATAAAGGAATAATTACGAAAAAGAAAAAGCTGTTGGAGATTAAAATTAAAATTAAATTTTCAATAAAAAGCCTACTACTCTGCTTTCCAATTAGGTGGCCATGAGTGGCTACGAGCGGCTCCTGAGCACTTGTGATGTGACTAGAACAGAAAAATGCAGTAAGTGTAAAATACTATCGAATTTTGAAGACTTGGGATGAAAATTAGAATGTAAAATATCTTAATAATTTTTATACTTATTTCATGTTGAAATGATAATATTTTGGATACACTGGGTTAAATAAAATACATTATTAAAATTAATTTCACCTGTTTCCTTTTACTTTTGCTAATATTGGCTACTAGAAAAAATTTAATTACATACATGGCTCATAGTTCTACCAGATAGGGCTGGTCTAGCATCTACGGTTAAAAATATCGTCAATGACAGGGGCCGGCCCGGTGGCGCAGCAGTTAAGTTCGCATGCTCCCCTTCAGTGGCCCACAGTTCAGTAGTTCAGATCCCGGCACAGATCTACAAACCGCCTATCAAGCCATGCTGTGGGGGCGTCCCACATGTAAAGTAGAGGAAGATGGGCACAGATGCTGGTTCAGGGCCAATCTTCCTCAAGAAAAAGAACCCATCAAGAATACAGAACAAAAAAAAGGGAGGCAGAAAATGATAAAAGGTAAGGATCATAAGACAATAATCCGGGAGGTCCACCATTTGACCAGTAGGAGTTGCCCCCCAAAAAACAACAGAGAAATCAGAGAGATGGAAATGGTTAAAGACATAATTTTTTTTTTAATTTTAAGAGTTGTGGCCAAGTCTTCAAATGGAAAAGGTACACTAAATACTGAGCTAAGTAAGTGGGGGGAAAAGGCCAAAACCCAAATCATATCTAGTCAGACCACCATGGTTAATCAGAAGGTTTAAGAAGATTCTAGAAGTTGAGGTGGGGGAGATCACTTACAAACCTAAAGACAAAGATTTAATGACACTTATGGAAACATTGCAAATGTATAAACCTTGAAAATAGAAAAACGATATGTCTGCCAAAAGCAGGTTGGAGAACGGAAGAAAAGGGACAGGCAGATGTCCAGCACCACTGGGGCCCTCTTCCGAGGGAGGAGCTAAGAGGTAAGTGTCTAAAGTTAAGACACAGGATTGGAAAAGAAACCATCAGCGGAACTAAAAATAATAACTACTGATAATTGGCAAGGGAAGCGAAGAATGCACCATTTTTCACAGTGGAGAGTCAATAGCTACTAGCTACAACTTGATTAACCAAGAAATAGAAACATAAACATATTATTTAGTGGAGGAAGTCATTAGAAGTACTGAAAGGAGAAATGGTTAAAAGTGATTAATTCTGGGGATTCCTATGCGGGAGGGGCACAACCGTGTAGCAGAGGACCTTCACCCATTTTTGGCCCTCCTGTAGTGTTTAAGATTTTCTTTGTTTAAGAAAAATGAATCGGGCAGTAATAAAGTAGAAATAACCAAAAGGGATCGAGGTTAAAAAAAGAAAAATTGACTAAAAACCATGGCAGTACATAAGGGAATAATGAGACTGTCAGAAGAGGAAATCTAAGAGGCTTTTAGAGAAAGAAATAATAAAGTATACCTGAAGAGAGATTGTGAATGAAGATAATTACAGACTTTATAAGCTGAAAATTTGGGAGGAATGTTAAAGAGAAGAAGGAACATACATTAAGAATAAAATCATAAAGAGTTAAAATTGAGGTGTCAGTAGGACATCGAAATGGATGAGCTCTACAAGAGGAATTCTCATTGAAGATCCAGTGTCGGAATGTATGGGCTCTGTGACCCTCAGAAATGGTACACGTTTCTTCATTGAAGTGCGTGCACATGTGCACCATCACACACATATCTGAAGGACCTGGGGGTCAGGGGGAAGAGGGCAGTAGTCTACTGCTCTCACCAAATTCTTAAAGGATCCACAACACTCCATTTAGCTGGAAATATGGGTCTGGATCTCCGTAGTGGATGATCACAGCGGGAACTGTGGATATGGAAGCCACCAGCATAAAAGTTAAGAGAAAACAATAACATCCAACCAAATCATCAATTTGTCAAAAAGCATACTGCGTACAGAAAGGAAAAAAGATCGCTAAGTGCAAGGCCCTATATAGGAAAAAGAAGAGGTACAGAAAAGGATAGAAAGAGAGAAGAGTCAGCAAAAGAGAAGAGACTCTACAGCATCAAAAGGAAGACAGAAAAGCGGCAGACGTGGACTAAGAGGAGACATTTAAACCAGAAGCCAGTCAACAGGGGAAACCACGTGTCCAGCAGACTTGTGGAGACGCAAAGCAGATTTCACAAGACTAAAGAGGAAATGGGAGGAGAGGAAAGAGAGAAACGGAGATGAAACTAATACTGAAAGAGAAAGAAATTGATTGCTGTCTCGTGGAAGGTTTATCAACACGACAAGAGTCTGTGCATGGCTACGGAAAGAAAATAACTGAAAAATTCATACCACTTTTTCAGAAACTTGTATTTCAGTCTTCAAAATGACTGAGTTCAAGTCTTCAACTAAACAAATAAGTAATATAAACAACAGTGTCAATTGTCAAACCCTTATGTATCTACTTAGATCCAAACAGGAAAACCTCAAGTTCAGATGGGCACTGACAGGGGAGCACTTTGATAGGAGAAAGCATATATGTGAGGCTTGGAGTTTTTATAACAATTACTAAAAATTCACTCAATACTCTCTTACACCAAAATTGCAAGCTGCAAGTCCTTGACAACCCTCTGTGCAGTGGATCAGCCATCGGGGACCCTTAACAAGCCAGGAGTACCTCCGACGGTCTGTTTCTATCCTGTATTGTCCTGACCTCCAGCAACCGTCTCAGGAAATACCTGCTTGTCCATTCTGTATTACCAGAGATTATCTATTATGTTCTGGGTTCTCTCCTGGTTCCTCCTAGTTTTCTAAAGATGTGTCACTCTCAATAATATATGATCATTTTTTACTAATTACTTCTCTGTTTTTCTATGTATGACAACAATATCATTATAATTTCTAACTCTTGGAATTATTTGGGTATGTTTAAAACTCTCCACATGGAACTGAAATTGTATCTTCTACGCTTTCCTATTTCCACAGAAACTTAATTTTATTTATTTCCGTTACAGCATCACTCAAAAGAATTGGACAGATTTTCACCAAATTTGGAGGCTATTTCCAGAGCGATCTACTGAAAACATAGCCTATGGCAAAAACAAAATTCATTTTGGGAGATTCCCAGAGGACCTTCCTCAAGAGCTAAGTAGTTAGACACCAAAGCAGCCGACACGGAACCATAGCAAGAGATCCCTTTGACCGTCCATCAGGGGAATATGACACAAATATTAAGACAACACAGAGAATATGAAGACTGTTTCAAACGTCAGATCCAAATCAGAGGTCACAAGATGAAATGCTGGCTTGCCATGGAGCAAATGCTTCTCAACTGGAAACGTCCATCTATATAATAGTTACGAATTCTCCAGAACAAAGCAGGGGTAATCTACTAGTGATAAAATGCAATATCAACATCTCCCAAAAAGTTTTCATTTGTTTAAAATGGGACACCTGGTTTAACTAGCTCAATTTTAATTACCTGAATTTAACCTGAATTTTATAAAACTATTGTTACAAAGTAGCTTATAATTCAGAGATTATATGCTAATTCAGAAAACACTACCCCTAAATGAGGCTGCATTATAATTTCAAATGTTATTTCTAAACTGCACTGAAATAATGAAGATAATGTTACTGATCACATTCATCCAGCAGTTTAGTCGTAAGAGAATGATTCTGTATTCCATTACTAAACCCCACGGTGAGATCCCAAGATCAATGCTTTATAGAAAAGCCAAGACCATTTCAGCTTTCTAGTTAAATTAGTCACGTGAAAGCCATAATGATCCAAGATTAATTTATAACTACCATAAAAATAAGGCTCCTTGAAGTGTAAAGACAGTTTGTATGCTGTTGAGCGTATTTAAAATACGTTAAACCTACACTAGTACAATTTTTACCCAAAAAGCAGATATGAAATTTCATAACATCTCTTGTCCAACATAACAAGAATCTGCTCTCTTATTAACAGTGATTCCAAAACTTAATAATATAACAGTAAGAGTTCTGACTTTTAAATGTTTGCCAAGACATAACCTACTTTCAATATTAGGGTGTTCCCAGTTTGGTCTTGAGTAAAAGAAAAAGTGCCAACGACAACTTGTGAATTTACCTTCTTTGAATTTCCAATTCTTCTTGTGATGGGCCATTTTGAACCTGGGCAGGCAGTTGTGAATTTTGTCTAGGCAATGTTGGCCCTAAAAAGGGAGGAAAACATTATAGATGAACATTATCTTTATATTTAGCTGGACAGAGGAGATAAAATCATGAGAGTAACATAAAACCATCACATATTTACAAATGTTCCTTCTTTTTGTTTAGCAAAATAAAATAGAAGCTTTACATAACACAGAGCAAATGAAAGACTGCAACATAATATTATCATCATCTCCAGAAGGCTTACTTGAAACAAATGGAAAACGTCAACAATAAAGGAAAAATAAACATTTATATATGAAGAGCTTGAGTCAAACAAGTGTTCAATGAGCATTTGAATAGGCACCTAAGCTCGACATTTTCTACGACAATGAGACATTCTCTTTGGGGGGCTTATTCATGGAGTGGAGAGGGAGAACTCAAATGAAAAATCAGAATTCAAACTCACCTAAATAGAACACTGGAAATGAAAAACAGGAGAGAGAGAGCATGAGAACCTTATTACTAGACTGACGATTGCTAATGCATTTATCAAATTTGCCCAATTTAAGCTGCCATTCTTATTTAACGGCCTGGCATTTCCAGCACTGGTGAAAACAAACATTTGCTAAACTTCCATATATAATTAACCTACGTATCTGAATTTTTAATGGAACAGAGGTAATCTTAATAACTTTTCATTTGGGGTTAAAAAAAAAAACCCTACATTCAAACCAACAACATGATTCTGTCATGAGAAACTAATGACCATCCATTCCCACATATCAAGTACAATGCAGATCCATTTTTAGCATCTTATGAAGAATGCCACTAAATTATGGGACATTTTAATGTCACTGGATATAAAAATTAAATGTATCATAAAATGAGATAAATAAATACTAGACCTAATGTACAATGCCTAGGCTTACAATAGAACAATCTTGAAATCTAATGCAGTAAATAAGAGAATAAAGAAATGGTAGTTATCTTCCACTCTTGGAGAGAAATATATGAGTAATGATGCTGTCCGTATTTGTGAATCCTAGTGTGCCAGCAAATGCCCCTAGTGGATATTCTGAAAGTGTTTTGTAGACCACTAGTATAAAAATCAGTGAATAAATAAATGCTCTGTGCACTACAGCAAATTCTTGTAATCTATGAGTTAAGAGCGCAAAGTATCTATTTTATACTAGTGGAGCAGTCTTCACAACTAGTAGGATACGGTTCATTAGAATGTAATACAGTACTAGCATATCCCAAGTGCAGAAAAATAAATAATCTGGTCTGAACTTACCTACTAATTTTTTTCCTCATCTCTTTACACGTTTTTAAATTAATCATGTAATTTGTCCTCTAAAGACAAATGAGATGACAAATGCAGTGATATAGCTCATTAGATTTCCTAAAAGACTGCTATTTTGAGAACCACATAAAGGAAATATAAAAATATATTAATGCCATGTAATCAGTAACACCAACAACAACAACAAAATCAAAAAGCTTTTTAAATTAAAATTAAATATGCACTTGAATGTTTGCATAAATGAAAATCTATAACTTGTCTAGTCAACAGACTGGTAGGCTTTCCTTCTTCCAGAAATTAACACAATGATGCAAAACAGACTGTCATATTAAGCCATACGCTTAATACTTTACAGAGAAAAGATATGTCTTCTGGCAGAAGGAGGGGGACAGACAAGGTGAGAGGGTAAATTTGAGAAAATATAAAGTATTTGGGTGAAGTATTTTATGTATCCAAAGGTATGTTTATCCAAAAATACTAAATGTGAGCATTTAGCATGGACAACTTACAAGACCATTATGGTTTAACTATTTCTTAAAATAATGTTTGTGTATTTAAGTGAAAACCTCATGCTGCTCAAATAATTAAACAGCTGGATGTGAGCAGGTTAGACTTGCCTGCCATCCATCTCAAAGAACAATGCAATCACACTACGGACACCGAGGGCAGGCATTATAGCTCAACCATGTTAACAGAATTCACCAATTAACATCGACCAATGTAAGTTTTAACTCAAATATACAAATTCAAGAAAAAGATGTCAAAATTTCAACTCAATCCTATTGATTTTATTAAAGAGGTTTTTTAAAAAAAAAACTAACAAAAGTTGGATGTAACTCAAAAAAATCTGAATGAGAAAAAAGTATCTTAGCACTTTACAGAAACTATTTTGGATTTTAAGTTAAAGTTTACTTAGAAAACTTGTTTTAAAAATATGGGCAATATTTTCTGGCTGATATCATTAATTATAAAAATAATTTACTACATTTTATTCATGCAGCTGAGAAGCATAGAAAAACTTCAAGGAAGGGCTTTTTAAAGTGGGGAGAATTTTGATCCAAGAACAGCTCTTAAAATTCTTTTCTACATGGTTCTTTGTGATAATGGCCTGTTTGTCTTTCCATAGACATTTCTTAAATGGCAGGCAAGAGAGGAGAAGCCTTTCCCTTGGCATTTTCTCACGTCTATATTTAATCTGGCTGTTTTGTTCATCTCTTCATCAATATTGTCAAGTCACAATAACGAGCACATTGAAATTCATGTGCATTTAAAAAATAATATAAATATGCTGTAAGCATCAAATAAAAGAATTCTAGGTAAATTATAAACTTCAGGTACACAATTACATTTTTCCTTCTCGTCAAACATTCTTCTGGGTTATACAATTGGTAAATTATACTGAAGGCATCACATACAACATGAAGCAGCAACTGAGATTAGGCAAGGCTGTCAGCTGCCACTGTATTGTCTGGAATATAACTATTACTTACTCCACATAGGCCATATTCCTAGGTGAGTATCTGTGTTCTCGTAGAATGCAAAAAAGGTACTTTCCTAACCAGTGGGCAAATGACAATATTTTATGAGCATCATATGGTGGTTAACAGTTCTCTTTTGGAAAAAAAGAGAAGAAACAAGGGAAGCTGCTTTGTTCCGACTATATTATCATAAAGAACAGTAGCTATTTGAGGACTAGTTTTCTCTGTTTTATTACCACAGCCAAAGACAATGGTTGATCTTAATTTGTCCTGGCTAGAATTCATATAGCAAAGTACGTGAATTACTGTTTCTAACAGAGAAAACGTGTCCATGTCACTGACATGGTGTCTTATAAATGACGGAAATCAGAATAGAGTATCTCTCAACCAGGAATGAATGGCATTTCAGTCTTGACTTCAATATTGAGCTTTGGCTAAAGCTTATTTCACTTAACTGCCACATTTTAATTTCCACAAATTCCACACTTAGCCACAGACTATTTAAAAACACAGGACTAAAAAGACAAATAGGTGTTAATATACACAATACAATCAAGTTTAACCTTAGTAATGTGGTATTATTTGTACACAGTTAAATCAATTAAAGGTAGTAGTAAGTAATGGGGAGAGATCTGCATATTAACACATGATGAAGGCCAAACCAATCTTTTCTCTGCAATTGGGTAAACTGAGTCTCTTATTCTGCACGTGGAACTCAATGTATAAGTAGCCAAGTATAGAACATCAAGTAGGTTTTCAAAATGAACTAAAGAGAGTCCTCATAAAACAAATATGAATAATGACTCGTGACTAGTTCACAAGATGGCCTGGAGATCCCCCAGGAGGAGGCAGAAAAATCAGACACAAAAGTTACTGATGAGACACCTAATCTGCACTGAATAACTGGAATCTGGGACGGAGAGGGGGTCTGCAAAGAGCGGTACAATAGGCTGGCAGCTCTAACTGTGTCACCTGGGGCCATCGTAAGATGTAAGCTTCGGTGATTGAGAAATACATTAGAATTTTCACTTTTGGAAATTTTTAACACATGCTTCTTTGCCTAAACCAGCAAGCACATATGTTTTAAAATAATTTTCTTTGGAGGTAAAGAAACAGTATCAGTACAACTGAAGAATCAAGTCAAAAACTCTGAGTCACGTGGATAAAGTACATATAACACAGCTGAACTGTTTATATAAACTTTTAGCAGTACGTCATTTTATAATTTTCTCTCTCATAAAACAAGCTGGTCAGCCAAGGTATACAGGAGTCAGAAAGGCATATATGAGTCAAAAAAAATCTAAGATTTAAAAGTCACTTTTTCAACTTGGGTTTTCAAAACAAAGTTTTAGAATCAAAGGAGGATAAGAAGAATTCAGACAAGAGTGTCTGCGTGTGTGCGTCTGTTTGTGTGTGTGTGTACAAACATACAGAAACATCCCTGTTCAAGAACAAGGATATGATGTATCTGATTAACTGTAATTTGGGGTGGCTAAGTGACATATCTGGTTTCTCCCTGCAAACAATATATATATGTGCACACGTGTACATGAGTGTGAAAGAAAACATTACATCAGCCTGGATTCACTCTTAAGCCACACATATCTGAGCTACTGACTAAAGGAGGCTGTCGGTCGGAAATCAGACCATGAAAGAAGGAACAGCTTACATCTGCCTCACAACAGGCACACCTAGAAATTCATTCAAGTGAAGTAAAAGCTCCCTTCCAATAAGGCACATTGACATCCCCAAATCATAGTATAAAGATGGATATAATTGTTTTACTTAAACGCTAAATTAAAAGATTGCTTTCAAACAAAATAGTTGAAAACAAAAACGAACGAACAAACAAAAACCCCTCATTCGTGTTGGAAGAAGCAGGCAAGACTTAGTTTTTTTAAGATCCTACTATTAACTAAATCCTAAGAAGCCAACTCGAAAGCTGACCAAACCACCTACATGAACCACAACAAATATCACAACATAAGACAGCAGCTGGCCATATACCCCAAACCACGAACCAGACCATGGCCTCAGGAAACAAAAGTCATGGAAATGTGCAAGTAGTATGTACCACAGCTTGAAAAAGTAATGTAAACGTAATGTTGCTTACCACAGAAAATACATCGCAAATTAGTGCTGTCCTGGGTAGCAGTAACCTTGCTCTGGGCTGCAACAGACACCTTGGTGTTAGAAACGTCAAAGGACAGCGGGGCCATCTGAAGAACGCACATAAACTAACAGGTGCTTTGAAAGGTTCAAAATGTATTTAGACATACGTCCTATCTAGATCCTCGTTCTGGAAGCTCTGTAATTTAATAAAAACGTATCCTCTTTAACATGAGCTTTAAAAAAATTTATGTGTCATCGTATTTGTGGAAAAACCCTATAATAAGCCACAGATCAAATGATGCACTTATAGCTTAACTATTTCCTGAGTTACAGAATCAGAGAGTGCAATCGATTTCTGTTTTACAATTATATTTTAAAAAGTAAATGGAGCTGAGGTATAGGAAGTCAAGATCTACGGCCATTAGTGTTAATTTCAGGATAACTACCCTCTTTTAGAATTGCTCAGAAAGGAACATTTGCGGCTGAGAAAACTTTAGGGGAAATGCTTAAGGTCAACTAAACATGAGATGAGCTCATTTCTACTAGCTGAAAATGACCCAAAGCCATTTTAAACAGCCTACAGCAATTAAAGTGTTTTATATTGATTGATGTAAAATACGAATATTTTCATTTGCTTTGCACTTTGAAAAACATCAAAACTAATCATTGTTTTACCAAGCCACATTTTATTCTTCCTTTTTTGCTCAATACGTATATATGTGTACATATTTGACGAAATATCTTATTAAAAATGTGTGGCCACATAAAATAGCCATTTAATATTTAAGTTATCTACATCAAAATTTACCTTAAGTATTAATGAAGTAAATTCTCTTTAAGAGGAAAAACTCAATGAGAAGGAGGGGATAATTTACGAAAAGGGGGAAGGGCTTATATAAAATCAAGCTGACGCTCAAAATCAAGGTGGAAGAAACAAAATTTTAAAAAATTTTAGTAGTATATTAGTGACATTCAAAACTTCACAGCAATAATTTTCTATAAAATCCTCAAGACCTTCTTTTCAGCATGGGAAAGATTTTCTTTTTCCAATGGGTATTAAGCAAGAAACAATGAACAGGTTAAAAATATACTGACTTAAGAAAGACTACATAAAGGCAAACAAGACAATATTTGGAATTTCCCCTAAAACTGATTCTTTAAAAACACAGTCTATGCTAACTAAAAAAGTTGGCAGAGAATCAGAACCAAACCAATTTATATTTAAAGAATGCACATCTAAAAATGGTAATGTCTTAAATAATCAAGAAAATTTCTTATCACATTTAGAAATTAGATTTAATATATCCCATTTAAGTTTAAACTTTGCTTTAAAAATATTACATACAGCAGATATTTTAAACACAAACAGAATAGATAAGACTGATAAATGTCACCTTTGCTAAGTACTGCTAACCACTCAATCTATTATTTTTAAAGTCGCATGCACAATATTTGCAGTAATGACATAAAAAACACCACAGGCATACATATAAACTGTCTACCAAGCTAATTAGATCATTGCAAAGGAGATAAACAGTTTAGAAAACTTTCAGTAAGTATATTTTAAGTTTAAACAAAAAAAAAATCTGTCTTACCGATGTTTGTCAATGACTACTTCTATAAAGCCTTTATTAAATAAACATGCCTACTTTTCAGGCTTTACCTTTCAGTTCCTTTAATTCATATTTACAGGGGAAACAAATAAGAAAAATATAAAAACTTACAAGAAAAACCCGAGAAATTATCTCGTCTCTGACAGCAAAGAAACTGCCACATTCCATTACCAATCATTTTGGCAAGAAGCCATCTGACAATTGTCAGAATGCAGGTAAACCGTTATTATTGCGTAAGACAAACGTTTTCAACCAAAACCTCCCAATCTCGCCACAGTTTAAACTATTATGCAACATTCTTGCTCTTGGTATCTTTAAGCATTTCCTCTTTCTAGACTTTTACTTCATAACATCACGTAAAATACTGATCTAAATTCTGATAAGGTTGCTTGAATTCTACTGCAGTTTGCATTTCCTGAAGATACTAAATTATTCATCCATCATATGCATAAGGCTAACAGCACTTCCTGCTTAATATGATGCTATTAACTCTTTCTTCACTCAGTCAAGGAAGAAGGGGTGAATATGGGAAAGAACAGTCATTGGCCAGATGGAGTAAATTCAGTAATACGATGATTACAGCATAATCAGTTTTAGGACTAGCGTCATATTCCATCTATCTTACATTTTGCCTATGAAAGGCCATTTCTCTTTTAAGTTAGCCATATTAAAATAGGCTTTGGGTTGACAGAAATTAGGATGGGCCATAAAGGAAAGCATGAACTGAGGAGGTTCACGTATCAAAAAAAGGCAAAATTTAGCATCTATATCAGACTTACAGAGAAGAAAAATGGCCAAGTTTATCAGCTATGCTGACCTTACAACAATCTTGTCATGGTTGTTCATTTATCTCTAACGTGGTTTGTAAAACAGCTGTCCCACAGGCTTTCCCCCTGCCTTTTAACATTCCCTACCATTAGGTGTTTTTTTGGACGAGCAGGGAAATGTAGAAACCCTGGGTGAGATGTGAGCAGCAGAAAATGCCAGGCTGTTTAGATTTGATCAGCATTACAATATTTCATTTCTACATATAATTACTATAGCAGACCCTTAGCATTCCTATGTTTTAACATTAGAAGTTTCCACGATTAGCCGTTAACCCCAAGGCAATTTGTAATGGGGATATTACCTATCTCAGCATTTTTTCTGAGGATTAAACGAGATGCTTGCTTAAAGTTGGTTTTGAATTGATTGGCACTCTGGAAAGCTGGTCTGTTGAGTGAGCACAGCATCAGCATCCAAATTAGCAGGGTTCACACTCTGACCACCAATGGGCCCCCAGGTATTACCCCCAAGACTGCAAAGATCTACTACAAACATTACATGAAGGCACGAAAGCAAATGTGTGCGTGTTGTTCTAAGGTATCCGGAACAGAACGGAGGGAGACCCTGCAGTGCCATGGCTGCCTGCATTCAAAGCAACAGGCACCATGGAAATGTAAATCGGTGTAGCCGCTAGGGAAAACAGTATGGAGGTTCCTCAGAATGTTAAGAATAGAGCTACCATACGACCCAGCAAGACCACTTCCGGAACTATATCCAAAGGAAGTGAAAATTGGATCTCAAAGAATAATCTGCACTCCCACGTTCACTGCAGCATTATTCACAATGGTCAAGATACGTAAACAATCTAAGATGAATGGATAAGGAAGACGCAGTTTATATATACACAATGGAATAATATTCAGCCATGAGAAAGAAGGAAATCCCACTGTTTGTGACAGCATGGACAGACCTTGAGGGCATTAGGCTAAGTGAAATAAGCCAGACAGAGAAAGACAAGGACTGCATGGTATCACTTGTATGAGGAGTCTAAAAAAGTCAAACCCATAGAAACAGAGTAGAAAAGTGGTTCCCAGGGGCTGGGGGTGGCAGAAACAGGGAGGGGCTGGTAAAAGGGTACAGACTTCCAGCAGTAAGATGAATAAGGTCTGAGGATCTAACGTAAAGCTAGGTGAAATTTGCTGAGAGCAGAACTTAAATATTCTTACCCAAAAAAAAGCTGAATATGTGAGGTGAGGTGACAGATATGCTAATTAACTTAAAGAGAGAAGTCCCTTTACAATGTATACACATAGCAAATGACCACAATGCACACCTTAAATATCTCCTAATTTTACTTGTCAATTATACCTCAATAAAGCTGGGGGGAAAAAACAGGTACCCAGTGCACTGTGCCAGGAGACATGAGATTTACAAATAGTAAATTTTATTCAAAGGGACGGCATCTTTAAACTAGTATTTGAAAATATTTTCAAAAGAACTTCAAATTTTGTTTTAAAATAGAAGTCGTTCTTAATAAAAGAAAATCCTTATACAGCTCAGGAAATGGAGCATCCATAGCCACATATGAAAAAACACCATCATATAGAACCCTCTCCCTCTCTTTTTTGTTTTATTGAATCTTAGGCAAAACTATACACATGATTGGGTTCCCCCACCCCCCTGTTTCTTTAATTCTCTCCCAACTTATGGCCTCAAATGCATTTTATTCCGTTCTAAGCAAATATGAAAATGACGGCTAACAGCCGATAAACTGCTGGTAATTTACTAGGCTTGACTGACAATAGTCTCAATATGCTCCTCGGTCCAGCATCTATTCTGTAAACCATTTATTTCAGTTGTGGAATGGATGGCTCTGCTTCTAGCAAAAGAAATGTCAAGAGTCAACCAGAAGTTGAGGGGCCTATAATTTACCAAGGGAAATACATAAACTATAAAGGCACACATATTAGGAGATAAGTTCAAAAATTAAGAGACTACCAGCCTAGGCTCCTACAATAGCATCATCTAATTAAGCTGCCCATTCTCATCTTGGTACCTCCCCCCTTCCCACTAGCAGCCAATGATACTTTAGTAACTAAACCAAAGCAAATCATCTCCCTTAGGAAAATCTCTTCAATTGCTTCCCACTGCTCCTAAGGTAAATATTAAAATCCAGCGCTTTCTCCTGCAATGTGCCTATCTCATCCAATTCATACTTTGTCACTCTCTATGCTCCAGGTACACTGGTCTTCGAATTTTTCACACATGCTATTTATATGCACATGCACATGCCTTCTGCCCATGATACTCTTTTCTTGGTCAACTGGGATGCTTATTTTTTTACTAATTAGAACTTTCTGGTGGTCAACACTCAACTTGCTATTAGCCCCCAGACAACCAAGGTAATTATTTCTCCCTCCTTCACTGGGAATTCTTATTCTCTACTTTTATATTTTTTCCTATTAGTGATTTCAAAAAATTTGAAAGGAGATAATAAGCACAAATATGAAATTAGATAGTATCAAATTTTCTAAGAAATATCAAGAATCTGTCTAAAGACTTGAGAAAAGTTTTAATGCAATGTTAAAACTGGGCAAAGTGGTCCAAACATACCAGACAAGAAAGAAAGTGGGAGACCAAGAGAAAATAGCTCTGCAACAGCCTAAAAACTTAAAGTTTG